GCTCTGCCCACAAAAAAATTAGTTCTGTTTCTTTTGGGTACCCCATCATACTTCCCTCTTAATTCAATCATAAGCTTCTTTAAGTCAATGAACAGCTGATGAACTGTCTCACTGTGCTCCAGTGTTAGGCGAATGCTAAAAAATCTATTATGTCAGAAAAACTCTATCCTTCATAAATATGTAAAAGAAGAACGTCTGCATAAAAACCACATCAACAACCATTCAAGAATTTAAATCATACAGGATGAGAGGACTCTACAAAGAAAGAGACAAGTAGATTTCTCAGAATAAGCTAATGATTTTATGGTCAATGGTTTCTATAACATTTTCTGGGAATGACAGTGGTTCATCCAGACAGTACTTATGAATTTACACACCACAGACAGTACTTATGAATTTACACACCAAAGACACTATATAGCCATGGAAGAGATCTGATTGTAAATTATGAACAGGCAGTAATAGTGAAGGTTAAGTGACCATAGTGCATTTTAAGGTACTATATGAACATACACCTGTAAGGATTGAAACAAATTACAACAGTGTTGGAATTGTGAAAAGGATATTTATAAAATAAAGTCAGATACATTTCTGCACAGTTAACCCTCAGGCCTGCACAAAACTCTGGAACCAGTTTCCAAGACACCTTAAATTTTGGACTGAATGGTAGCAAGCATTACCCGAATTCAATCTCCTCTTCATTTCTTCCTGAATGAAATTTTGACTTGTTACTGTCATTTCCAAATATCTGAACTGTGCCACATTTTCAAACCATCTGTTTCCTATCTTTCTGTCATGATTTTGCCCTGCATTCTGGTCACAAGACAGCAACATATACTTAGTTTTCTATGTGTTCACTTCTAGACCAACCTCCTTACTTGCGTCAATTAAAGTTTGTGCGTTTTTCTTTATGGTATTTACATTATCAGCCAGTAGATTCAAATCATCAGCATAAACCAGCAGCTGATATGTCCAATTTAATTTCAGTCCCACCTGGTTTTCCTGGACCTTCCTAAGGGCATATTCTAAAGCAAAGTTGAAAAGGAGTGGTGATTAAGCATCTCCTTGTCTTAGACCATTCTTGATAGGAAATTTATCAGACAACTGTTTACCTATACAGACTTTACTGTAAGTTTCGTTTAAACACATTTTAATCAACATAACTAGTTTCATGGGTATCCCAAACTATATCAGAATACTGTACAATACTTCCCTCCTAACTGAGTCATATGCTTTCCTGAAGTCTATGAATAGCTGATGTACTGTCTCATCATACTCCCATTTTTTCTCCAATATCTGACAAATGCAAAAGATATGATCTGTAGTTGATCTCCCATGTTGAAACCCACGCAGATGATCCCCAATAACTTAATCTATACATATGGACTTATCCCTGAGAGGATATTGGATAAAATTTTGTATGAAGTTGATAGCAGTGATATCCCATGATAATTACTACAGTCAGTAATTACTGAGTAATTAGAGCCCAGCTATACCCTTGGTGCTGAACTATTCTTCAAATTTTCCTTATATATGGAAATCAAAAATACATTAAGATTAATACATACTAATGCTTTTCTTTTATTATGAAGATTGGTGTGTAAATATGTATGGATGCTATTTTCTCTATTCCTGCTAAAGTCACCTGATGCATTCCCACTGCTAGATGTAGCAGTTTCTAAACTCTGTTATAGATGGCATACAAAGAAACAGAGAGGTCCAACAGCTCATGTTCAAGTTGGGCGAAGCATATATATGGAACAAATTCAGTTAGTTTGGGAGATTATGTGTTTTTAAAGTTGCACTTGTAATGATACACGTAGCACGGACATCTCACATTGCAGGTCCCCACATTACCGGCTCAGCACTACCAAAGTTAACATTTCACTGGCATACAAGGTGTGGCAATAAAGAACCCGGATTACTTTTATGACTCATTTCCGGCCACGTCATTGACCCTTGGACTTCCCTCTACCGTCACACAAAGTTTCATTCACGTGCATCGGTTAGTCTGGCCGCG